ACAACAGGCACATTCTCAGGCAGATCTATTCAAGAAAAAGTATATATAGAAGTTGAGGATCTAGAAACTCATTTTCTCAAAACTAACTGCCAATGGCTCCCTTCCTCTGTCTTCATCAAAGCAGCCATTTTGCTGTTGCCACCTGCTAGTATCGAAAGAGCCTCCCGGAGGCTTCAGGTTTACCAAACAGCTGGAATCAAGAACAGGTGACCAGACTTCAGGCTGAGATCTCAAATGGAGACAGGTACCTTACCTTGCAGAAAGAAAGTGATGTATAGAATAGCAACAGCTGATGACAAAAAGCCTCAAAGTTTTCTTTTTAAAAATAGCTGCGAGTAATATTACTGGAGTGGAATAGATAAACCTAATTAGAGGTAGAGGGGTAATCCCAGGAGCCAGGCTTTCTTCTCTAACAACTTTATAATTGCTCATCACACAAAGGCCAAAACTGTCTCAGAAATGCGTCCTGGAATATTAAGGCAGCTGGGCGCTGACAGTGTTACGAGTTCTAGGAAGTTAGTCAAACAGTCCTTCTCACGGGAAGTGTTGAATAGCAAAACATTAAGGCTGGAAGATGCTGATGCAGCTAATAATGGTCTTGTGACAGTCATAAAGACCACCAAACGAGAACAAGCAAAGGCTACTTACTCAGAGCTTGCTATAGCAAGAGCGTCAGCCACCACCGTTACTTGGGTTTTGGCAGAAACTCAAAAGTAGGCAGAAGAGTGGGAGTGCTTTACTGGGGAGTAGAGCGGGCTGGGGAGCAGGGAAGGCTTGAGGTGTGCCCTGACTGGAGGCTGCTGGGAAGCTGTGGGTGGGCTGGCTTCAAGTGGGATAACCTATGTGACTGGTTAGGGGAGAATATTTGACTTTCTCTACCCGGTCCTGAATTGGAAGTAGCAGCAAAAGTTAGGGAAGCTGCCAGCTTTTAATCAAGGCCTGGCCATTTGGGGATGACTGATTACAGAGGTTATTGTCTGGCTTCCTGGACTGATGGCTAGAGATAGCGGTCTGAATTCCTACAAGTCTGAAATATAGATAGTAGTTTGACTTCCTGGGCTGGCTCCTGTACAGAATAGGTTAGTTCCCTGGGCCAGTTGCTGCACATTGTAGATCAGAGTTCTATTTTTATATATAGCCTGCCTGTTGTCCATTTGTATATTTAAGTCTTTCTGCCTAGATACCCTAGGAGATGCTAAGGTGACATCAAAGAATGAGAGTAAAATCTTTTCTGGTTCTTGAAGCTCATGTGGGCCTGATTCAACAAATCAACGCTATGGTTCCAAAGTTCTAAAGAAGCAGAGAAATTATCAGTTAATATTTATGCAATAGGAATATTTTATCTATTAATAACACTGTTCATAATTTTTCTTTCAGTTAATTTTACATTTTGCACTGACTCCCAGCATCTTTGTTTTTCTTTGTTAAAATACAAAGTATAGATGTGGCTTGAGGGTTTATTTTGTTCTTATTGTTTTTCTTTTTATTTGGGCAGGGAGTATGTTTTTGGTGAATGAGTTTGTGCAAGTGGGGGTGTGTGTGTATTCAGTGAAGAATAAATTGGAAAATATTTCTATGTGTTGTCCTCCATCTCCAGTAGTAACAAAACAAATGTTTATACCCCAAAATACAAAGAATTACTGAAAAGAAAGTACCTCGTATTACAAATATGAAGACATTCAAGACTTGGTTTTAATTTGCCGTATTAACTTTTGTATTTGAAAATACATCTTTCTTTTTTTTTTTTTTTTTGAGACAGAGTCTCACTCTGTTGCCCGGGCTAGAGTGCCGTGGCGTCAGCCTGGCTCACAGCAACCTCAAACTCCTGGGCTCAGGCGATCCTCCTGCCTCAGCCTCCCGAGTAGCTGGGACTACAGGCATGCCACCATGCCTGGCTAATTTTTTCTATATATTTTTAGTTGTCCAATTAATTTCTTTCTAATTTTAGTAGAGACGAGGTCTCGCTCTTGCTCAGGCTGGTTTCGAACTCCTGAGCTCAAACAATCCGCCCGCCTCGGCCTCCAGAGAGCTAGGATTACAGGCGTGAGCCACCGCGCCCGGCCTATTGCACATCATATCCTGATATTGAGGAAATTAGCGGCTCTTGATTTAGGAATTTTCACAATTGAAATTGTTGGAAAGGATGAAGTTTTGTTTTCAAAGAAATGTTCAAAAGCAGAACTTTGGGAGTAAAAAACAACTTCAGAGAAGCTGAGAAACAATTTTCCATGAATCCACATCGCTCCTACATGTTTAGCCCATGTGCTCCAAGACTATCTTTCTAGGAATGCTTTTGCAAGCCGACAGCCCTGGAAAGATAAAGATAGGCCTCCCCCTGGAGCCAGTGTGTTTGCATTCCTAGATAAATAAAGATCAGAACAGGGGCTCCCTCCAAGAGATGTACAGATGTCTTTCCCCAGAAACATTTGCTCACATTCCAGTGTAATAAAATAATGTCTCTTTCTGGAAGGAAGCAAGAGCAGATTAGCCAGCAGCCCTATATGAGATCAGAGCCTCCTAAACTCAGGCTTCATCCCCCATATTGCACCTCAAAAGTACATGTAGGTACCCTCTGGCCCTCCCTGTGTCGCCCCGTGGGGGTTGGGGCTCAGGCAACTGGAGCTCTGATGTTACCTTGGCTGCTGCCTTTTTTGTGACTACTCTGTCTTTGTCCCTGACACAGAGGTCCCCTGTTTTCTGCCAGTATGTATATAAAAATGTGTGGCAGGGTATCTTGTTAGCTTGCTTAAAATCTCAGACTTTTTAAGTTTCCAACTTAACAAGAATGGTTTAAGAAGAGTCAGGAAAAAAATGAATCCATATTCCTGAATGTCATTTGAATAAACTGGGGTGTCTGTCCCTTCCTAGAGTGACAGGATGACTCTCTTGGTTTAAAAATAATAGGATCCATGGAAGTGAAGATGGAGATGTGGGAGGAGAGGGGTAGTCTGCTGTTCCCATAAGGTGACATAAGAAGTAAAATATATGTCCTCAATTGAAAAAATAAAGCATGTGGGGCCCTGCCCACATGGTTTTTTTATTCAAAGAATACAAAGGACAAGCACTTCTAAAAGGAAAAAAATGGGCTCTTTGAAATCTCCGGAGAGATTGTGACTAGAGTGCCACACTGGTGCCGAGGGAAGGAAACAAAGAGATAAAGTCAGCTGGCACCAAAAGTGCACCAAGGCATGGACACACCCACTCAGCCCACAGCACCATTCCTATGCCCACCTTCTTTTCTTTCTCAAGGTTGGCCTTGGCGTTTATTTCAATGAGAACATGAGCTTGCAGGTGTAGGTGCTGGGGCTTCAGGAGGAAGTGAAGCTCACAGGTATTTACCTTGTGCAATGGAGTTTGTCCTATCCAAGTGTTCTTAGGAGAGTCCTGCACACAGGCAGCTCTTAGAAAGTGATGGTTGGTATCCAGAGTGCTTGAAAGGCAGGACCTCCGTAAGTTAACTGGAGAAGGACTCATTGGAGGAGGGATCCATACTAAGTCTGAAGGCAAGGAGGCTTGGTGGAGACCAAGGAGCAGTGGGCTTTCCTGGGGGTGACAGTAGGAATAGGACTAAAAAGAGACAGTGTACAGAGAGGGAGAGGAAGGACTCATGAATTTTTTTTTTTTTTTATAGATGGGGTCTTGCCCAGGCTGGAGTGCAGTGGGCTCATTGCAGCCTCACACTCTTGGGCTCAAGTGATCCTCCCACCTTAGCCTCCTGAGTAGCTGGGAGAACAGGCATGTACCACCATGTCTGGCTAATTAAAAAAAAATTTTGTGGGGGAGGGTCTCACTATGTCGCCCAGGCTGGTCTTGAGCTCCTAGCCTCAGGGAATCCTCCTGCCTTAGCTTCCCAAGCAGCTGGGATTACAAGCATGTGCCACTGTGCCGTGCGTATAGTTCTTAGGGGGTTTGGAAATCAGCTATGTGTTAGGCACATACTAAGTACTGGGTGCTCAAGAGATTTCATATGAATTGTAGTTAAAGCTGCACAAGTTTCAAATTGGAGATTATTTTTAACCTCTTCCCCATTATCACATCCTAAGATGTCATATTAATAACTAAAAAGAGGCGAAAGACCAACCTGCAATGCAATAAGACAAGACGTTTGTTAGGGTCTTAGGAATTGCAATTCAGGAGACACAGATTCAGCTAGAAGTTAAATTGTGTTCCGAAGAAAAAGAGGGAAGTAGGGGTTTTTAAAAGACGTAAAAAGGAAGCTAAGGGTGATTACACAAGGTTTTAAAAGAATTATCGTTGGTGCAGGCAGGTGGCCAGTACATGAGTCCCTAGTTTGTTAGCTGTTCTCATTCAGGTATTGCAGTGCCAGCGAAATTCCGTTGTTTTCTGGGATGTTGCGGTCATTGCAGTTTGACCTAGTTCAAAAGTTCAAGGCAAGTTTCTGTTTTTGTTTTTTGTTTTTGTTTTGCAAGTTTGCAGGAGGCGCAGGCAGTCCTTTTTACAATAGCTTCCCAACTCCACTTTAGAGCTCTGAACCACAGTGACGCCATTTTGTACATCACGTTCCACAGTATCCAGGAAAAGATGGAATCCATTTCCTTTTTTGGTACTCAGAAGACCTCAAGCTACACCACTGCGTGTCTTCAATCTGTTGTCAAATCTCTAGTGCATGGCTCTAGGTTGGTAAACTCTCTTCATTAAGACTTTTTCACTGAAGAGGTAGTTTAATGTCTCCCAGTTCAACCGTAAGCAACCAAGAAAATTTTAATATATTTAGGGGTTGTTTTTAAGGAATGTACTTACAGGGAGTGGCAAATGGTGCATCGCTGTCTCAGGTGTACTCATGGCTATTTGCTTTGCAGTGAGCTTACTTAAAACACCTTTTAGAGACTAAGAAGAAATTACAGTTTCAGGAAAAAAGGCTTTCATATCAGAACCACATTTTTTTCTCACAGAAATATATTGTGTTTTAGTAATTTCCACTTGGGAAAGGGTCAGGTCCGGCTAGTTAGAAAATTTCTCACTAAAAGAAAGTGAAATAAATATGTTATGTCGGTTGGGTCATGAAGGGTAATTTTCTTTTTTTTGTAAGGCTGGTCAGTGAAGGGTAATCTTTAACCAGTGATCTAAGGAATAAAAAGATAGATGTTAAGTAGGGCCACAAGTTAATTTTAAATATTTTAAAATAAGTTTTAATATTTAAAACTTAATTTAATATTGATTTAATTATATAGAGTATACTAACTGCTCCATAAATTTTTGGAAAAACCACTGTAAAATTTTTAAAATATTGTAGGCATTTTTATAACACTTATAAAGAGATAAGACCAACTTCTGAAGCTGTCCAAGCCTCCTGCATACCAGAGATAATTTAAGTTTTTCTTCTTAAAAGTCTGGATGATAAGATAGAGGATGTTTGCTCCAAAACACTGACTCAGGAAAACACTTCAATCTCCTGCAAGATTATCTCCATTGTTCTTATTGGTCAACTGTGGACGAATATAAATCCTTCTATTTTACAAACCTTTTACCGAATGCAAATGTCTTGTTTAATGTGTAAGTTGCTAAAATACATTCAAGCCCACTTCAAAGAACTTCCCACATGAAGTATGAACCTGTATTTATTGGTACTCTTTCAGTTACAAATAACAGATATCCAAGTCAAACCAGCTTAATTATAAGGGAAATGTGTTGATTTTATTATGCTGAAAATCCCAGGAATAGGTCTAGTTTCAGATACCTGTACTTTCTAATCCAAAGACTTGACCAATTTGCAACTACTCTTTACAATTTGCAACTACAATTACAATTTGCAACTACCGTTACAATTTGCAACTACTCTTGCAAATACCCTTTCTATTTTTTTCCCCTACTTCTCTTACCCGATTTCCTCTGTAAATTGGTGATGTTTTCCTTCACTGCAGATGGGACCACATCCCCTACCATCTTCATATCATCTCCAAATGAGAACTCTAAAGGCAAGAGACAGATGTTCATGCTCACTCTAATAAGTATGTATAGTATACAAAAATATAAATATTGACCAGAAATCTTCTGCTTTGTTTATTCATTATCCCTAAAAAAGTAACTATGAGGAGATAATTCTCAGAGACTAGATTATCTTCATATGGAGTTATGGTAATGCCATTTCTTAAATAAAAGAAATACATATTCAACAAATGTTGATTGAACACTTACAATGTTCAGGATACTAGAGATAAATCAGTAAAGAAGCCCAGACACCATTATTCCCCTTCAGAGACAATTATTATAGTGAGGGTGATGAGCATTAAACAATAAATGATAAAACTAAGTGTTAAGTTATAGTCAGAATAATGCTTATGTTAGTTATTAGTGCTGCTCACTCATATATGAGTCTACTCTTTTTCCAGACACATAGTAGGGTTGGGTTGGAATTGCATTGGACCAAGTTAATAGTTCTGGCCAATGAGTTATGAACAATAGAGAGGCATGGCCCTTTTTAGCAGATGTGGAAAAGCCAATCCTAAAATTCAAAGGAAATCATAAGAGGCTCTGAATAGCTAAAATAGTATTTAAAAAGAAGAACAAAGTTAGGGAATTCATGCTTCCCCAATTCAAAATTTACTACTAAGCTACAGTAATCATAGAAGTGTGGCACTGGCATAAAGATAGACACATAGACCAATGGAATAGAATTCAGAATCCAAAAATAACCAACAGATCTATGACCAATTGATTTTCAACAAAAGCATCAAGGCCATTCAATAGGGAAAAAGTAGTCTCCTCAGCCAGTGGTGCTGGGACAGCTGGACATCCACATGCAAAAAAACGAAGTTGGATCCCTACCTCATACCATATACAAAATTAACTTAAAATGGATCAATGACCTAAATATAAGAGGTAAAACTAAAAAACTTAGAAGAAAACATAGGGGTGAAGCTTCATGACCTAAAATTTGGCAATGGATTCTTAGATTATGACACGAAAAACACAAATAACAAAAGAAAAAATAGATAAATTAGACCTTATCAAAATTTAAAGCTTTTATGCATCAAAAGACATCAAGAAAGTGAAAAGACATCCTAGAGAATGGAAGAAAATATCTGTAAATCATATATCTTTGATAAAGTTCTTATTTCCAGAATAACAAGAACACTTATTAGAATGATGAAAAAGACAAACAACCCAATTAAAGCATGGGCAAAAGAATTGAATGGACATTTCTCCAAGGAAGATATACAAATGGACAGAAAGCACAGGAAAAGATGCTCAACATCATAAGTCATCAGGGAAATGCAAATCAAAACTGTAAAGAGATAGCACTTCACACGCACTAGGATGCTGAATTATAATATTTAGAGGTGAAGTGTCTGATATCTACAACTTATTTTCAAATGGTTGGATAAAAATGGTTGGATTCACATGCACACACACCCACGTACACACACAGAAAGAGAAAGAGAGAGAATAAAAAAGTATACACTAAAAGAAATAATTTCCTTTTAATTGGAAAAATGGGCAATTCCAGGTCTGGGGCAGGAAAGTATTCAATAAAAACAAATCCCAAATTAGGGAGAGACTTTAATTAGAAAGAAAGACTATTGCAATCGGGAGAGCACTCTGATCTCAGGAGTCTGCAAGCATCTCAAACTCAAACAGAAAAAGGTTTTCTTTTACAGGGTAAGGGAGAGGAAGCAGACATAGTGGCCCCTTGTAAGGGGAAGCTGTTACAGATAAGTGAGGAGAAAGGACCAGTGGGTCTGGCAGGAAAAGGGGCTCGCTGTGGAGCGCTAATTCCTGGGAGGAGCTGATAAAGGGGCATGTTCCCCTTTTTGTGTCTGCTTGCTCAGGTTTGGGGGCAAGCAGAGTTCAGGGGCCTGTAGGAAAAAAAGAAGGCTGATGAAAGTTTGATCAAAGATGAAGCAGAGAGTAAGAACTGGGCAATTGTGAACGTTTGGTCAGAAAATGCACAGTGTGCTTAGGAGGTCCTGTTGTGACCCTGAAATCAGATTTTCTAGTTTTAACTGATGACTCCCCCACTTGCGGTTTGTTAAAGTGACCACAAAAAGAAAAAAAAAATTACATACACATAGACAGATGTTAAGACAAATATGACAGAATTATCAGTGATCGAATCTAGGTGAAGGTCATATTGATAATTCATTGTATTGTTTTAATTTTGCTATGTGTTTGAAAGTTTTTCATAATAAAAAGTTGAGGGAAAATACACACAAAAAAGACATATTTTACAGGAAATTTCAAATGCTTAGGAATAAATCTAATAAAAGGAATATAAACTCTTTATGGAGAAAATTGTAAAACCTTATTGAGATACATTAAAGAAAACCTAAATAAGTAGAGAGGTATACCTTGTTTTTGAATAAGAAGGATCAGTATGTCCAAAATCTCCTAAGATTTATCACTTGACAAGCTGATTCTAAACGTATTATGAAATCCCTCATGCTCTTTCTTTTCAACTTGGGCTTGGCCAAATGGCTCGGGAAAGAAGGCTGGGAAGAGAAAAGGCTGTTCTGCCATCAATGGGGTGGTGACCAGAGAATAGCCCCATCACATTTGCAAGCATACCCATGGAGCGGGTTTCGAGAAATGTGCCCCTCAGGCACCCAAAGAGACCCAGAAATTTGCCATTAAGCAATGGGAACTCCAAATGTGTGCCTTGACACCAAGATCAACAAAGCTGCCTGGGCCTAAGCAAGAAGGAATGTCTCATACCATCTCCATGTGCAGTTGTCCAGAAACATAGTGAGGATGAAGATTCACTCAACAAGCTCTATTCTTTGGTTACTCATGTACCTGTCACCACTTTCAAAAATCTGCAGTCAATGTGAATGAGAACAAACTGTGAGATTGTCGAAGTTACAAAACTGCTTAAATGAATAAATAGTAAAAGTATTATGAAAGAGTAAAGGGCCAAGCACAAAGACTCTGTTTTTAAAGTTTAGTATTAACTATGGAATTATAAAAAAAAAATGGATCAATGAAACAGAATAAACAAGATCCCAGATAAAGTCCCACGTCCACATGGAAAGATGACTTAGGAGGGAACACCACCACAGATCAGTGGAGAAATCAGTGGCTCCTGAGTAAATAGTGCTGAAACAACAACAGAAAATGAATTTCAGGTAAATTAAAGCCCGAAATGGGAAAGGCAAAATTATAAAACTTTTAGAAGACAAAATAGGAAAATATTTTAAGACATTAAAGTAAGAAAACACTTGACAAAGGAAAAGACTGACAAATTTTTTTTTTTAGACAGAGTCTCACTCTGTTGTCCTGAGTAGAGTACAGTGGCATCAGCCTAGCTCACAGCAACCTCAAACTCCTGGGCTCAAGCAATCCTCCTGCCTCAGCCTCCCCAGTAGCTGGAACTACAGGCATGCGCCACCATGCCTGGCTAATTTTTTATATGTTTGGTTGCCCGGCTAATTTCTCTCTATTTTTAGTAGAGATAGGGTCTCGCTTTTGCTGAGGCTGATCTCGAACTACTGATCTCCAGTGATCCTCCTGCCTCAGCCTCCCAGAGTGCTAGGATTATAGGCGTGACCCACCACACCCAGCCAGGACTGACAAATTGAACCACATTAAATTAAGAATATCTATTTATTGGAAGACACCATAAAGTAAGTGAAAGACAAACCACAAACAAAAAGAAGATACCTGCAAATCATACAACTGGAAGGATTAGTATCTAGAATATACAAAGATTTTCTACAAATAAAAAAGGAAAAATAAATACACAGAAAAATGGGCAAAAGACATTTCACAGACAGGAACCATAAACATATGAAAAAATGTTCAGCCTGCTAGAAATGAAGGAATGCAAATTAGAAACACAGTTAGCATTTCTTAGCCACTAGATTTGCAAAATATCTTTTCATCTGATGAAATTATGCATTAGTAACAATAAGGAATAATAAAAGCTTTCATACAATGGTGGGAATCGGTACAACCACTTTGTAAAATAGTTTTGCACTACAGAATAAAGTTGAACGTGCACATAACCTAAAACCCAGTTATTCTACACCTAGATCACAGCCCAAAGTTTTGCACTTGAGCATGAGGAGACAATACAAGAATGTTCTTAGCAACATTCTTTATAATAGCCTCTAACTAAAAGCTGTCTGATATCAATCAAATATAATTGTAAACTGGTATATTCATCAATGGAACAAAGCAGAAAGATCCTAATGAGACTGGGCGTGGTGGCTCACGCCTGTAATCCTAGCACTCTGGGAGGCCAAGGCAGATGGATCGTTTGAGCTCAGGAGTTCGAGACCAGCCCGAGCAAGAGCAAGACCCCGTCTCTACTAAAAATAGAAAGAAATTACTTGGACAGCTAAAAATATATAGAAAAAATTAGCCGGGCATGGTGGCGCATGCCTGTAGTCCCAGCTACTTGGGAGGCTGAGGCAGAAGGATTGCTTGAGCCCAGGAGTTTGAGGTTGCTGTGAGCTGGGCTGAGGCCACGGCACTCTAGCCCGGCAACAGAGTGAGACTCTGTCTCAGAAAAAAAAAAAGAAAGATCCTAATGAACTACAGATCCTTCACATCACATAGATGACTCTCAAAACATTGTTTCATGAAAGAAACAAACCTCAGAATAATATATATGGTATGATTTAATTTAAGAACAGGCAGAATAGAACATTATATTGTTTTGGTTTAGGAATACATATATATTATAAAAAACCAAAAAATAAGGTAACACAAAATTCAGAGTAGGGAAATATGCCATCTGAGTGAGGCACACAGGAGATCTTTAAATAGGGTGATCATGTGTACTGGTTTGCCTGGGAAAGTCCTGGTTTACACCTCTTTTCATCTGACCATTTAATACACCTTTTCACTCTCAAAAGTGTCCTGAGTTAAAGAAAAAAGAAATGATATGATCATCTTTCTTTAAAAGTACTGACGATGGCTGAACACAGTGGCTCACACTTGTAATCCCAGCATTTTGGGAGGCGGAGGC